GTTCTCAGTAAATTGTAAAGGAACCCATAAGGAAAAACAAAGCGTTTCTGCCCAATGCTTCCTGCTCAGGTTGTGGGTTATCACATCCTGGGCGCGCTGCAGACTCCACCAGGTGACGAGTCATGTCCTCAGTTAGAACCACTCCTTTATGTGGGTGAAGCTGCCCAGAAGGACAAAGTAAAATAAATAACACTTTAAAAGGCTAAAATAAAGCTAATTTTTCATGCAGTAGTTCCATTAAAGTCTCAGAGACCACCTGCCTCCATCTTGGTTCTGCTGACGCAGCATCGGCGTGCGGTTCATCAGCAGGAAGTCCAGTCTCTGCTCGGCCTGGAGGTGGATCCACCTGACCGGGTCTCCGCCATGCATCCTTCAGGCCTTTATGGTGATGAAAGGACTGTAGCTCTATAGAGCCAGATATTCCAGATGTTTCAGCCTTTCTCCACCTGTGAACCTCTCTGCCTGGGTGCTTGGCTTTTGCTCCCTAGATCTCCGTTTGTCTGAGTGTGAAACTGAACTGGTTGTTTGTCCGTGGTGAGCTGGCTGTAGTGAACTCTGGAGCTCAGGTAGGACGCCGCTGAACGCTACTTTGATCTGAGAACGTCAGCGGCGTCATCGTTAGCTCTGCACCGCTCAATCAGGTGTTTTTCACCTGTTTAAAAACCTGCTGCCAGGACTAAGAACCACTTCATGGCCGCCTGCGTGCTTCATTTGGCGCTGCTAGATGCAGACGCGTGCTGATGAAGGCGACGCTCATGCAGGTAAGGATGAGCCTCACCTTCTGAAGGCCGTCACCTTCATTCACAATATTAACACTGCCATTGTCCCGACTGGAGGCGGAGCTTGATGGAGCTCAGCCATGCTAGCTCCATGATTAATGAGCGTTAGCTTTAGCTCTGGATTATTTTGGCAGGGTTTTCTCCTCCTTGTATTTATGTCGGCCATGTTTGTATTAGCATTAAAGGTTCTATGTTTGGTGGATTCAGGCTAGATGCTAAACGAATATTTAAATTTTACACTTATTTACAGGACAATAATATTTAATCTGATGCTATTTCTGTCCAGTAACTCTGATAATCCCACAGTTTGAATCCTGAACTGCTTCAGCAGATTAGAAACGACTTTCAGCATCTTAGTGTAACGTTTGCTCTCTGACCTGCAGCTGATCCAGGCTAACTCTGATTTTCTGCATATGGCCTCAAACCCCCACAGACCGCCTGAACGCCGCCGTACGCACCGCTCCTGTCCTCATGCTGCCGTTTCTAAGCTCTCAGGATTATAAACCTGAACACACATCATGGTGAAGTGAAGCCCGACCTCCGCGATGGCGTGCGTTTTCAAGTATGAAATCAAGTATCCTGGCATGAGATGGCGCCGATACGGATAAGTCCAATGGACCATGATTTATAACCAGAACTAATACGGCCGTGGTGATTTGATGAGTTTAGCTTTAACCAATAAAAAAATAAAAACTATAATTTTCATTGCGATCACTGAGTCCAGGAGCGGCCATTTTCCCCCAAATATAGTAGCCCCTCCCTCCTGCCATCTTCCAGCAGTGACGTCACGGTGCGGTAAGCCTAGCGCCATTCTCCCCGCTTTCCAAGCTAAATCAATGGGAACTACTAGACACATCTGCAATCAACAACAATTATTGAAGATTTCCAGAGGACTTCACCATTGAAATTCACCAGAGCTATAGTGAAACTGACAATGCCCACGTGCATGGCAGCTGGATGCTGGAATACATCGGGTAAAAGTGGAAAAAAGAGTTATTCCACCTTTCTGATTCCTGATCCTCCACGGACGGGTTGGTCGTTGGATCGCCAACTTGAAGAGGGAGGATTTGCCATCGAACTTCTGGCCAGAGAAAAAACCCGTAATATGTAGCCAACATTTGGAAGAAGAATGTTTTCAAGATGACTTGGATAATAGCGCGTTGTGACAAACACCAGATACAGCACTGGGACTTGATCAACAGCCGATACCGCACAGTGACGTCACTAACCAGTAGGTGGCAGTAGTGTTCTTTGACAAACATGGATGCCTCCAGTAAAGCACATTCACATGAAAATTACTCTGAATTAAAAACACTGATCATTTATTGAACAGGATGGAATCATTTCAGATTTAAAGAACTTTCAGAAGTTTGAATTCTGAATATGAGCGACTTTTCCTTTAAAGCCCAAAGTCGCTCTGATAGTGACGCCTCATTAAACTCTGTGTCAATAGTAAATGTCCGCAGCGCTCTCTCACCTCATGAAACCACTTCCTGTATCTTCTGTAGAAAATAGACCAGCAAAGGGAAACAAGGAGGTAGCTCCTCCCCACTCAGACTCACATCTAGAACAGTGCGGATGCTCTGGATGCAGTTCTGCCTTCAAAGAGCACCAGCGTCCAGTTTGAAGCGTTTGATGCCTTTTTTTTATGAGCCAATGCTTTTGGCATGAAGACACCATTACCCATAACACTTTGCATGTTCTGATAGCAGCTCAGCTACATCAGCATGCTGACTGCTTAAAGTGGTTCAAAAGGACGGCAACCTGAGTATCATTATACTACGGTCAGAGCGGTTCCTCTCTGATTGACATGCGGTTCAGACGACGTAGGCCAGTCTGGCAGCCAGACCAGGGACTGACCAATCAGACCTGTCAGCCGTCCAACAGGAACGTCAACCTAAAGTAGTTAATGGTTCTACTTTCAGTTTTCTGTAGGCGTCTGTTTGTTAAGGAGAAAACTACATCTACATTCAAAGTTCACGATTTGAGAAGCTCATCAACCAAAGGCAGGCCGAGGTGCACCTTCCACAGTACCTAAAGTACCTCCATCCAAAGGTCTTGGTAGTTTTGAGAAGTTAAAGTTTCTCATCAGATGGTCAGAATATAGGAGACATTACTGCTAATTTAACAACTTCCTCATTAGTTGGAGGTAAGCGTTTTCCAGGTAATTACTGAGAGCATTTAAATCTGGAAGCTAAAACAGACAAACGGCAAAGAGGACAGAGTAGCTCCCACAGTGTTTGAAGATGTGAGATGAAATGACTACAGTCCGAGTGACCAGCTTTATCTTCCCTCATTTCCTCCAGCCCTGTGATTGTTGAAATCCCTCACTTCGCCTCGCTCCGAGGGAAGGAGCGGGAGCTGGTGATCCTCAGGAGTGAGACCGGGGAGAGCTGGAAGGAGCATCAGTGTGAATCTACTCCAGAGGAGCTCAACCAGATCCTGAACGGCATGGATGAAGGTCGGTTTCCTGCTGTGAGTGGACTAAACCAAAAAAGCCCTCCTTAACACGCCTCCTTCTCACCTCACGTCTCTAGAACTGGACCCACCAGAGGAGCTGGAGAGGAGACGCATTTGTAGGATCATTACCAGAGACGTCCCCCAATACTTTGCAGTCGTTTCACGCATCAAGCAGGACAGTCATTTCATTGGTCCTGAGGGAGGCATCCTGAGCAGCACCGTGGTGCCTCAAGTGCAGGCGGTGTTTCCGGAGGGGGCGCTCACCAAGAGGATTAGAGTTGGTCTGCAGGTAACGTCTTCCGTCCCCCTCTGGTAGCTTTGTACAGCAGGGTGTGTCTCTGCAGGGCGTAGATTGGTGGAGGTGGGCGGACGTTCAGAATTCCAGAACTTTCCTCTGTGAGTGTCTTTCCTTTCACAGACCCAGCCAGTGAATGTTGACGTAGTGAGGAAGATCCTTGGAAACAAGGCCACCTTCAGTCCCATAGTCACCCTGGAGCCTCGCAGGAGGAAGTTCCACAAACCCATTACCATGACCATCCCGGTCCCCAAGAGCAGCACCGACCCAAACCTCAATGGCTTTGGAGGGGACACACCCTCTCTGCGGCTGCTCTGCAGCATCACCGGTCAGATAAAGCTCTCGCGTTCATTTAGAAACCTGAACGGTGCGACTTTCTCAGTCTGAACACTGGATTTTCTGTCAATGTTCAGGAGGAACGACGCCTGCTCAGTGGGAGGACATCACAGGAACCACACCATTAACATTTGTCAATGACTGCGTCTCCTTCACTACCAATGTCTCTGCGAGGTAAAACATCACGCTGATTCATGGTCACGATGTACCCGCTGGTGAACTCTGACCTCTGCTCTGCTCCCTCTCCTTTCAAGGTTCTGGCTCATAGACTGTAGGCAAGTCCACGAGTCTGTCAACTTCTCCACTCAGGTGTATCGAGAGATCATCTGTGTTCCCTACATGGCCAAGTTTGTGATCTTTGCCAAGAGCCACGACCCGATCGAGGCCCGATTACGCTGCTTCTGTATGACTGATGACAAGATCGATAAAACCTTGGAGCAGCAGGAGAACTTCACCGAGGTGGCCCGGAGCAGAGACGTAGAGGTGAGAATCAGGAACAGGCTTAGCAAAGACCAGCCAGGACCTTTACTCTCAACGCTTTAGCATGTAGACAGACGAAAGCTAGGATAGATCCACAGGGAACGCCATCA